CTGGCACAGACTTCCTAGATTCCACCACTGACCTTTGGGCCTTCCCAGCGCAGATCTGTGAAACAGGATTGCATGAGATATTGTTATGGGCTCTGGGCCTCCAGGTGGACTTGTGGGAGGCATTGTTATGGGCTCTAGGTCTTCAGCTGGACTCATGCAGGACATTTCTGTGGGATCCAGGCCCTCAGCTAGTTTCCTTGGTCTTAGTGTGTGGACAGATTTCCTGCACTCTTTTGTATAGCATTCTTTGCGTGACTATTATAAATAATCTTATAAAATATGCGTCCTATATTATATTATTTCCCTTTGCAAGATGTGCCCTAAACCACCACAGGAGGGAACCACCTTGGGGCAGGATAAGGGCCCCTAAAGCTGCCCCACCTTAATCTCCAGCACCTGTGGCTGTACCGCTTTTGCAGCAGCGGAAGATTCACAGATGTGGTTACTGACTACGGGGAAATGTGACGGGGCTGGTGTGTCTGAGAGGGGCGCGGGGCTCAGGGTAAATGAAAGGAGGTGCTGCGAGGTCGGGGCCAGAGCGTGGGCATCCGCCTTATTTCCAGAACAGCAAGAAGACGCAGGATAGTGATTTTCCCCTGGAGCCTCTGGAAAGACCCTAGCCTGACAGCCCCGTGATTTTCAGCCCTGGGCAGCCCACTTTGGACGTCCGACCTCCAGAACAGTAACACCATGAATTTGTGTTGCTCTGAGCTGAGTTGAAATGGTCGTCACACAGGTCAGCTAGGGAAGGGGGCTCAGGAGCCCCTGGGTGTCAGTTAGAACAAAAAATGACCAGGGCCTTGCGGGGAAAGACAAGGGGTTTCGGGTCTTATTTGCAATAGGCCACGAGAGGCAGAGGACAATACAGCATTCAGGCGGGGAAGGGGGAGAAAGTGGGCGTCTCTGAGCTTCACAGGGATTAGGACAAACAGGGTGACTTTTGAGTCCGATATGAATGGGGGAAATGCAAAGGAAACGGCCTAGGGATTACACTTGGAAGAGGGGCCCCCACTTCCTGCCTCTCAGAGGAGGCCCAAGCCACTCTGAGCTGCACTGGCCTCTGTTGGGGCAGGGCAGGTGTGGCAGGTGAGTTTCAGGCTCACCTCCTGCCCCACGACCCCAGAGCCCAGGCCCGGGCTGCAGTCCTCACGGAGTGTGGAGGCCACCCCTGTCTGTTCACACCTCTCAGGACAAAGGAGAACATGGGTCACTGGTGGCACAGCCCCAGGTGTACCTGGGAGGGCCAGCTGGCGTGGGCCGAGCCCAGCGCCTTAGCACCATCTAATGTAGCGCACAGCCGGCTCCAGCGGCACCTCGCTGGCGGCAAGGGTCCCGTCACTCGCCTCGTCAAACACGCTCCCCGGGGAAATCGAGTTTCACGTTGGCTTGTAAAAGGCAGCTGGCCGGCAGCTTCTCTTACTTGTCCCCAAGGACCTGCTGAGGCACAGCGGGGCACTTTACAGGCTGGATGGCCTCAGGTGACTCAGGCCGTCAGAACAGACAACAGCCTGGCGGCTCTGGGACCCAGGGGAGTCACGGTCTTTATTGCTTTCTGAAGCGAAGGGAGCGGCTTTCTCTAGAAGATAGGATGGATGCACTGCCGTATAACCAGGAATAAATGCACTGAGCCCCTGGGAACTAAAGGAAGGAGTCTGAACGCATTGTTTGGTTTTTAAAAATGCGTTAAATATTAGGAAGCCATTTTTCTATACACTCCAGCTAAGTCCGTTGTTCTCAGTGCCACTGCGGGTATGAAAGCCAGGTGTGTGTGTTCATTTGTGCCCGCTTCCTGAGGTGCTCTGGTGTGGGGACCACACTGAGCAAAGCTACGCCAGCCTGCCTTCGCTCCTGGGACTCTCAGAGGGGCTGAGCAAAGGGTACCTGAACAGGAGCAGTTTCCACAGACCTCTGTGCCGTGTGTGTGTGTGCGTGCGTGCGTGTGTGTGTGTGTGTGTGCTGGTGGGGTGCGGCGTACACCCACCGCAGTGCTGGGGGTCAGGGCAGGCCTCTGAGGACAGGCATTTGCTTGGAGACCTGGAGAGCGATGACGAGCTCAGTGGTTAGAGACCTTCCGGGAGCTAGGAAAAGCAGCGTGGTCGGAGGGAGTGGTGTGGCCTGAGACCAGTCAGAAGAGAAGCTATGCAGCTGTCGGGTCTGGCAGGTGGCAGGCAGGCAGGCAGGGACAGCGGCTGAGTCTCTCACCTGGAATCCAGACGGCTCCCAGTGCAAGGGCAGCCCGCGCAGGCTTCAAGCAGGAGTGGGACAGCGCCTGAGGGGTCCCTAAGCTCAGTCTGGCAGAGAGGAGCATGGTGTTGCCCTAGGCTGATGGAGAAGGAAGCAAGGCGGGGCTGGGGATCGGGAAACCGGGGAGTACAGTGAACTAGGACTGCACCATGGTTCTGAAAGTGGAGGAGTCACCGGGTGCTTCTGAGGGTAAAGTCCCGGGCCAGGATTGTCCTCTGACTCTTTTCCTCAAGCACCGCCTGGCAGCCGCAAGCAGAGGTGCTTTATCAGGTCGCCATCTGTGTCCTCCGACACTTGGCCAGCAGGACCCATGAGCAGCGTGTTTGGGGGAAGTTCTCAGTCTTATTGAGGACTGCGGTCTCCTGCTTCCTTTAAAGAAAAGGTGAAGGACCAGGCTGTAAAATAGATCGGATTGTCACGTACTTTGTGTCTCCAGTCCAGAGCAGTCTCAGAGCCTGAAGTTCTCAACAATCCGGCAATGCTTGGGGAGCCGGGGCTGGGCAGGTGCAGTATGGGGCACCTGTGAGATTGCCCGCATTTGCTACCTGGGGAAACTGAGGCACGGGCCAACCTGCACCCAACTCTTTGTCGGTAACTCCTCTTATTCATGGGGGCCACTCACCAAGCTCCACTTCTGAATGTCACCAAGAGGGCCAGGGAAGTGACAGTTCAGAGTGAGAAGCCCTTCTCAAAGAAATTTTGGTCCAACCCCATTATGTTTGTACCGCAAGATGTCATGAGGTTTGTAGTGAGCATGTCCCCTATACCATCACAGTTATGGGGCTTCTCAATATAAACAACACCATTTCCACTTAAAGGTCCTTGCGGTTCCCCGCCTGCTGCTCCCTAGTGTGATTGTAAAGTAGGCCTGGTTCTGCCAAGAAACCAGTATCCTTCCAGTCTGTGAACGTGAAAGGCTGAGTAGGAGCCTGCATTTCTCCCATAAGCCTCCTTAAGGCCCCACTTGTTACACAACTCACATCGTTCCTGCCGCTCTGCACTAATGCTGCGTGTTATCGAGGGACTTTTCAGATCTGCGAACTCTTGGCCAAATCTCTGCAAGGTGCCCTGTGTCTCCTTTCATTTCAGGATTTGAAAATGGGATAAACTGAAGTTTCAGGCTTTAAAGATGTAGTTAGGTAAAGATGTCGTCAGACCCCCTGAGCTCTGTTGGGAATGTGAGGTCCCGCTAAGGCCCCCCGGCAGTACGCCGAACCTTGGGTGAGCCTGCAGTGTGTTTCAGATTGACGTGGGGTCAACAGCTAACGCTCACAGAAGCACTCAGTGCCTGTGAGATTGCCCACATTTGCTACCTGGGGAAACTGAGGCATGGGCCAAGCTCATGTTTGCCAAACGAGGCTTACGCAGAAACGAGGGACACAGATGCCTTAACTGATTGCGTAGTTTCTTCTCCTGCTGAAAATGATTCCGGTTTTCTGCTCAGAAGTGGCGGAAGTGGTTCACAAGTGAGCTAACTTAAGGAAGGACAGTTGTCCACAGATGCAGCAGACATTTTAGGGGGCACAGAGCCACCTGCAGGGTGTGTGGCCCTGTGCAAGTACTGTTGCTTGGTGGTCAGCTCCTGCCCCTAGAAGTGATTTGAATCCTTCCCGCGTCAGTGTGTTAGGACCATTCTGGAGGCCCCTCTCACCTGCTCCTAGACCAGCTGTCAGGAGCAATCTGCTTTCCGGGATATTCTGGTGGAGACTGGCCTGGTCCCTAGAGAGGCATGCTCTGGAGCTCCGAGGGGAATCTAAAGGGGAAAAATGGGGACAGTTCATCCTCGCTACCAAGGGTGGCTAAGGCCATTTCAGAGCAGGTGTTTCTAGCTGCCAGGACCCACGAAGGACTCAGCCGGGGCTTGGGAGAGTTGCCCATGTGGTCCTGCTGGTTCCAGGCAGGCTACCAGGAAGGAGACCTAGAAAATTCCCAGGAAGGCTCTCCAAGTAGAGGGCTATGGGAGTATGTCCCCAAAGCACAGGGCCTGTGTCCGGGACACCATACTCCTGGGATTTAAGAGTAGATCTAAACATAAGCTGGGCCTGTAATCCCAACACTCAGGAGGCTGAGGCAGGAGGACTGCTGTGAGTTCAAAGCCAGCCTGGGCTACAGAGTGAGTTCAGAGCTAGCTTGATCTACATAGTGAGACCATATCTCAAAAAACCAAGACAAGAGTAGATCTAAAGGATGGGAGGAACTTTGCGTAAAATTAAAGATTAAAAAATTTCTTCTACATGTCTTAGGTGCTTTAGCTAACAGAGGGAAAAAGCTATTTTGAGGAGGAAGCTAGTGGAAAGTGTTAGTACTTGGAATATTTGCGTGCAGATTTGATGGTAAAAGGTGCCGACCTGTCCCCTTGGAAATTCTGCAAGATGCTCGTAGACACAAGACGGCTTCTGCCTTCCAAACGACTGCCTTAGCCGAGTTCGCTGCACATGTTCGGGGACCTCATGGTAGCTGGTCCAAGGTAGATGTTATAGATACAGCTTTTCTAGATGCTGCCTCAAAAGCGGCCAGAGACAGACGACAGCAGAGCTGTGACGGAGGCAGACAAATTGAGCTCTACCGCATGGCCCTGTCACCTTGGTCAAATGGCTTCTGAGCCTGTATTGCATGTAAAATGGGACAGTACTTCCTCTCAGGCTGAGACAAGGCAGAGGGAAACACAGGGTCTACGCACACACAAAATATTAACCCCAAGTATAAACGGGCTGCTCAGTACCCGCTCTGCAGAAGCAAAGACACACCCAAGTAGCTGCTGCTTTCAATGGTTTTATTGCTAAACTATCATAGTACAAGCCGTATAAAAATACTTTACATATAGCAAAAATAAACTACATTAAACTGGAGATAAAAACATTTTGCATAGGAATGTGATGTATTCAAACTCCCTTAACAGTCAGGATTTTCCAAACCTAAGCCTTCCAGCACCACCGAGCTGGAGCAGCTTGCATCTGTTGGAGAGCTGTTTAGGACCCAGTATTTCCTCCCCTCTGAGAGCTACAGAGGCAACAGGTGTGAATGGTCTTCGCTGACAAGATGCTAGCCTTATGGTCCCACAGCCATACCTGCACAGGCCAATCAGAATACTGGGAGCACCTGCTGTCATGGAAACCACATCATCTGCACCCATTGCTCCAGACCTCGAACTGGCAGGGGAGTATAGTCTGCAGTTTCACGGTGCTAACCCTAAAGTGCTAACTTTTCCTTTCCAGCTCCCAGGACCCCATCACATTTTCAGAGAGGCTTACTCAGGAAGTGCTTCTCTCACCAATCACCAGTTTGTTTTTAAACAAACCAAATTAAGATGGTGACATCAGGAATGTGAAGGGAAGTTACCTGTGATCCTGGTGTCATGTGGTGCTGCTGTTAAGGACTTTGTTGGGAGGCAGAAAAATACCTACTGTACTTGCAACTGGCCTTTTTGATTCCACAAGACTTAATGCCCAAGCCCTAAGCTTGGGGGACCCAAGGTTAAGATGTAGTGAGTCCCCAGTGGGCTGTCCCTCCAAAAAGTGAGTTTGAAAGTGGTCACCCCAGCTTGTCAGGAACACCACTACCCCTGTGCCTCTTGTAAAAGTGAAACGAGCAGAGTTGTTAAATGGACCACTGACATTCATTCAGTTCGGAACAATAGAAAGCATATGGCAAGTGTTCTTTGTGACATGAACATAAACAAGTTCAACCTCCCTTTAGTCCAGAGTGACAATCGCAGCACATCAGCTTCTGATCTGCCGAACTGTGACAGTCTCACCCTAGCCAAGACTCACTCGTTGAGACAGATGTCTTGGCTACTGAATGTAAACCAAAAATAGAAGAACAGTGCTTCCCAGTTCTTGGAAGAAATCAGCTTCTTTCACCTTGGCAATATCGCTGCTGGAAACCGTGTCTGTCCTTTGGTTAATGTGTGCGGAGGTCAGCTTGAGATCTAGCTTGCACTTGCGGTTCTCTGAATAGGAGCTTTGAATTCCATCCATCACAGTGCAAGCAGGCTCTATGGCTTCAAATCAAAATCACCTACTAGCTCATTTATTTACAATACGGTTCTCCTCAGTGACAAAACCCAGGCTCAGGGCTGAAGAAAGAAAGCATTGTTTTCCAGCAAGAAGAAAAATAGATTCTTCTTCCACAAAACCATCCTCTTTCTTGCCCTGAGCTGCTTTCTCTTCCTAGATAGATGCCTGCCAGGCTCAGAGGGGGTGTTTTTTGGTTTGTTTCCTGGAATGCTGAACAAAAATTTTCAAGAATACACCATTTCTCTTAAGGGAAAAAGAAATCAACATATATGTAAAAAGAGACACTTAAAAAGATTCTGACCATTTATAAATATCTTCTAACTCCAACAGAGGTGCAATATTTGGAGGGCAGATAAAAGCATAAAAATACAGGTAAGAAAATAAAAATTTAATTACAGACTAATTAATTTGGATTGCATATATATTATCAAGCAGCAGTATTTTTATACAATACAGGAAGACTTGCAAACTTTGGAAGTATACTACATTCAGCAACATGGCAGACCTATCAGAGTGCTGCATATTACTGCGGGTGCGGCAAGTACTAACCTTGACTTAACTGAGACTCCTTTGATACACGTGCAACACGCCCATCTTTCCCATGTAGACACCTTTCCTTTCTGCTTTTGAGGATTTGACTGCCTCTTCCCATACTGAAAATATTTCCTAATCAATGACTTGACAAACTTTCCTCCTGGCATTTGTAACTGACACGACTTTCTGGACAGCTGTCCACTCTCCATACATTCTCTTGCCTGTTTATGTCTCAAAACTAGTGCTTTTTCTTTCCTTTGCTATTTGGTATAGTTTCATGAAAGTGCTTCCTATACTATCTAGCTGTCTTAGAAAAAGGGATTTGTGTATTACACACACGCACACGCACACGCACACACACACACACGTATAGGAGTTGGAGCTACCAGGAAGCCCTTTTTTGCTAACATGGTTAGAAGACTGATGGAAAATGCATTAAGTCTCTTTTTACCCCATGGACAATGAAGCTGAGCTACTTTGCTACAATAGCAGGAAGGCACTTGGGTAAAACATTCGGGTAACTGAGGAAAGGTCCGATTCCCTCATGTGCAAAAACGGCTCCAAGCCAGGTCAAGTGAGCTCAGATCACTCACCAAGCCCTCATCGTTCTTCTTTGCTGAAGTCAGTACTGCTAGAGAGAGAAGTCTCGAGGAGCTCAAGCTGCTGCTAGAAGGACTTGCTTTGTTAATGACGTGTTCAGCATTGCAGAAGCTCTGCAGGCGCGCTCGACTTCTTACTGGCATTCTGTGTGTTTTTAAAGGAGAACTTTGCTCAGCTCTGCTTGGGGTGGGAGAGGAAAAGGACCCCTGCCATTAGGGGACATAACTGCTGGGTAGTGACAGAAAGAGAATGTGCCACTGGGCATGCAGGCCAGAACCTGGGCACTTGGTCTTCAGTTGGGAGCACCAAGCACACCTGGCTCTCAGCAAGGGTTACCTCTGAGTGACCCTGACCAGACAGGACTTTGAAAACCCACTTTGGGACTGCGACTTTCTTCCTAGGCTTTCCGCCTGGCAGACTGCACTGAGAAACTGCTCAAAGCACGTCCTTTTGAAGAGTAACGAGGCGATCTGCACCTTGCTGCTTGCTAGGGAGATAATCAATAGCGGGAAATGAATGTCGCTTTGTCCTGACGTCTGCACCAAGCACAAGCAAACCCAACACTGTGATAAAACTCTCCTACAACAAGCACGTAGGGTTCTGTTTGTTTGCAAAAACTGCACCAGTGGGGGAAGCTACAGGACCCTGTGCGTGCTTGGGTATGAATCACACACAACAGACAGCTGGTCCGAGCAGAGCTCACTCAGGCTAAGGCAGCACTTGAGCAGAGCTGCTCCCGGTTGGACACGGAGACTGATTCAGGCCGGGCTCCAGGGCCAGCACGCTGAGGCCCAGGGGCGTGTTAAAGGGTTCAAGTAAAATTAAGGACCTTTGGGGCCAAAGCCTGTGCTTCCCTGCTTCACTCTGAGTTTAGGCAAGACAGGGAATTCAGCCCTTATCCTCTATCTTGGTGGAAACACACTTATAAAAGCACTTGGGTTTTAACAAAAGTCCCTGCACTTCTTTTGGTTTTGTTTTTGCATTGGTCCTCTGGCTGCTGCCCCGCAACCTTCAGGGCACAGGCCTAAGAATCTCCTCAACTCTCTCACGTTAAAGCGCTCTGGCTGCAAGGAAGACAGAAAGGAGGAGCTGCACATAGACGGTCACAGTCTGCAGCTGGGTCAGCTCAGCCCTGGACGCTCATTAGTGCTGGCTGCAGGGGTCAGAGCAGCTGGCCAAGAGGGCTCCGCCCACAGCCTCCTTGGCCCGCAATTTGAAGCAGAGAAAAAAAAAAAAATCGTGTACACATGTCATAAGTTAACACCGAGAAGTTTTAACAGATGATTTTGTCTGCGCAAAGGAGTTTTGTTTTGGAAGGAGAAAATTCCAAAATAAAGCTTTTGCTGGGGCCCAGCCATGCCTGGACAAGGCGATCTCTAAGGACAATGGCCCATTTCTGTCTCTAGCATGAGGGCTTTGGGGTTCCTTCACCAGGAGGCTGAATCTGGGGCCACATTCTTTTGATTGCTTTGAGGACCCCTCTTTTCAAAGGAACAGGAGCCATTTCCATGACTGGAGAGACGAACGCTGAGCGTGGGCTGCACGTCAGTACCCACAGCTCGGGTCTCAGGTGGGGTCCGGCGGCCCGCGGCGCTGGCAGTGTGGCGCTGGTCGGCAGGCACTTGATTTGGGTGGATCACCATTCAGACCAACCAGGATGCTCTTTGGGGCTGAACTTTCAACAGGAAGGAGGGCTCTGGTGTTTACAGAGAGAGGCGGCGAGCTCCTCCGCCGGACGGTCGGCTCCGAGCCCAGACATTGTTCCCCGTGTGGCCTCTGGCGGGAATGAATAGAAGGAGACAGAAGGTGAGGCGGCAGAGGCTCCGAGGGCCGAGACAGAAGGCGTCAGATGCAATGGCGGCTTCTACGTCTGATTTCTGGCAGGAGGTCCTGAAAATTCCTTCCTGATAATTTCATTAACTAGAACAGGGGAGAGAGAGGGAAAAGAGAGGAGTGAGAAGGTACCCAAAACATGTACCAGATTAGCTTTTTAGAACCTCAACCAGACCCTTCCTTGTGATTACACATTTGGTAATTTTTAACAGAAGTGCATTCCTATGATAGGGAGTTTTTATTATTTGGCGGGGGGGGGGGGGGGG